AAGAGCGTGACGTTGTAGATGACCTGGTGGCCGTTGTTCCAGGTGTAGAGCACCCTCTCCCGCGGGTTGTAGTCCAGCATGGATATGTGGGAATACTGGTTGTGGAAGGGAATATCCGTGTATTCGTAGCTGGAAGTGTTTGTGTAGTAGGCAAAATAGATCTTGGCGCCGGCGAGGTGGGAGTTGGTGACGTAGAGCGTGCCGCAGATCATGAAGGACTCTCCGGCGCTGCGTTTGGGGTAACCCGTGTCCCAGCTATGCAGGACCTCCAGCGTCTGGGGGTCCACCCGGCTCACCACGATGTTGCCGGCGTTTTGGTTGGTGGTGTAGACGGCCCACAGCCCGCTCTCGTCCACCATGAAGTCGATGTCGGAGAAACCACCCCAAGAATAAGGGAAGGTGTTGTTGTAGCCGGCGCCGGCGAGGCTGCGCTGCACCAGCACGCTGCGGGAGCGAAAGTGGTACTTCACCGCGATGTTACTCTGGTATTTGTTGTAGTAGAGGGACCCGTTGAAGACCACGTGGCCGGTGCCGGCCCAGGGATGCGGCAGGAGATGCTGCACGAAGTTCTGTCCCGTCACGAAGTCGTTCAAGGTCCGAAACTCCAAGACACGGCGGCCCTTGTAGTAACCGTCCATGTACCACACCTGCAGCGGGCTCAGGTTAGGGATGCCCGGCCAAAACGGGGCCCCCACCCCCATCGAGATCGGCTCCCAGGACAGACGGACACGATCCACGTCCTTCACGGCCCCCTCCCAGCACATGCAGCCATTTGCACTGCTGCCACGTGTTGGGACACTAAGTTTTCCTGGCTTCCCCCTTTAACCCTGCTTTCTGCTCTTTCTGCAGATCAAATGCTTGGCTGATTTTTAATAAGAGGGCGTCCCTCGTCCCAGGTCCCAGCCTGCAGAGACCCCCAGGGAGCTCCTGCCCAGCCTCCCGCCGCCACAGCCCAGTTCCCTCCATCAGCACCTGCCAGAGCTCCGCAGAGGCAGCGCGTGCCCCCCGTGCAACGGAGCAGAGGGCTTGCACCCCGGCGAGCGTGCACAAGGGCACGTGCACCCCAGGCAGCGTGTGCCCCGGGTGCACGGGCAGCGCGCACCCCAGGAAGCATGCACCCCAGGCAGCGTGCACCCTGGAGATCGTGCACCGAGGTGCATGGACCCCAGGGAGCGTGCACAGGCAGCATGCACCCCAGGGAGCATGCACCGAGGTGCACGGACCCCTGGCACTGTGCACTGAGGTGCATGGACCCAAGAGAGCACGCACGGGCAGGTGCATCCCAGGGAGCGTGCACCGAGGTGCATGGACCCCAGGGAGCATGCACGGGCAACACCCCAGGGAGCATGCACCGCGGTGCACGGACCCCTGGCAGCATGCACAGGCAGCATGCACCCCAGGGAGCATGCACCGAGGTGCACGGACCCCTGGCACTGTGCACTGAGGTGCATGGACCCAAGAGAGCACGCACGGGCAGGTGCATCCCAGGGAGCGTGCACCGAGGTGCATGGACCCCAGGGAGCATGCACGGGCAACACCCCAGGGAGCATGCACCGCGGTGCACGGACCCCTGGCAGCATGCACAGGCAGCATGCACCCCAGGGAGCATGCACCG